TTTACTTTTTATTATTAGTATTGCAAATTTAGTAAATACTAAATACTAAATTTTATTATAATAAATAGTACATATTTATTATAATAAAATTTAGTATTTAGAAAGGTTTTGGTGGTTAATTGTTGCCCAATGATTCATTATATATTTTCTTTTAAAAACGTCTTAGTCATTTGTTTTCTTAAATTTTCACTGATTTGCCTCTTTTTAATGATAGCCATTTTCTGTCATCTCTTATTGAATTACCACGTATCTTTTTACCTTTCCTCCTCCCTTCTTTCATATTTAATTGGATTGTTTTTACTTTTTCATGCCACATAATGTCTACATAGTATTCTTTTGTTTTTATCTTTGGATTAATCTTAGATTGAAAAATAAATATGTTGAAATCTCAATAGCAGGTAACTAAGCTTCCTTAGTTAGCTCTGCTGAATCTTCAGTTGGTTGTTCAAGAGGGATACAAGAGTCCAATATTACCTAGATTCTTGCAATAGTTAAAGCAATTTCTTTTCACAACAACCTACATATTTGAATGCTTGGTTCACATTTTCTCTCCTTGTATTTCTTTGAAAATGTTGAAAAAATAAAAGCTTTGCTCTTTGAGCTGCTTTGGAGCAGTTTGACAAGGATATAACTGTTGTACCATTGTAAATTTTTGATCTTTTCCAGGAAGCCCAGAAGATTATTTTTTTGTGTGTGATTTAAGTCCCTTTTTTATTGTGAGAAAATATAAATAACATAAAATTTACTATTTTAACTCTTTTAGGTGTATGTTTTAGGGACTTTAAGCACTTCACACTGCCGTCAACTCTGTCCATCTCCAGAACTTATGACAAAGGTTTTGAGAAGATGGCTTTTGAGTCGATCTCACCAGGTAATTAATAACTATATCAACTTCTCTATGTGGGCCTTTTGATTTCAGAAACTCTCTTTGGAATGTAATTTTGAACACATTCTGTTGCATTTTTTGCAACAAATTCCACTTACATGAGTAGTATTTTGGTCTGTCTTCCATTTTCATCATTTTTCTTTTTTTTTTTTTTTGACTTTCATACACAAACTCATCCTTTTTTATTACATTCCTGCTTTTACCCAATGCAATCTGTTTTTCTTTAGTTGTGTTGGAATCTGTTCTTCATATAGGTATGATTTAATGCTTATATGTGTTTCCTGAATTTTAAAAGATCTTTTTCTCTCTCTTTTGCATTTCTATTCTTCCACTTTGAATTGCTAATTCATGAATGTTTTTTTTTTCTTAATAGTCCAACATTTTGTTGGATAATATTTAACTCAATATAATATTTTGTTAAACATTTCTACCTCTCCATCCCCCTCCCCCTTTCTCTTTGGGATTATCAGTTTAGTATTTTAATAATCTTTTTATTGTAGAACTTTGTGTAGATGAAGACTGCTGGCACTTCTGAATCTGTGCATGGAATGGGTAATTGGGAGTTCATTATGAGGTCTACCTTAGGGTATGTCTTCCTTTTTTAATGTATCAAGTATTATTATTCAATCACTGTTCTGCTTTGCAGAGAGGCAGAATTGGTAGTTTGTGCCTCTCTACACTATAGAGTTATTAAAGGGCATCCTCTCTTCTCTTTACATTACTCTTTCTAGATTGATCATCTCTCCAAAACTGCCTGGTTCTCCTACATCTTTTAAGTACTTCCTTGTAGTCTACTCTGACCTTACAATTTACTTTTTAAAAACACTATTTCCCCTTATTGGAGCCGTTTTTCCTGAAACAATTTTCCTTTCCTGAGGCAATCTTTTTCATCTCAGGCACTCTGTTCCCTTCTTCTTGCTTCTGGGCATCCATTTCCCTTGATATTGCTTGGCCCTTCACACAGGGTTAGGGAATAAAAATCAAGAAATTTTTCCCTAGAATTAATGCTTTGACTTATTTCTTTTTCCCCTAATTTGAAGTCTGTGATGGCCTCCATCTTATAGACATATTGAAAGAATAGAATTTGTATAGTTTCATATTTTGTTTTTTGGCCTGTGTATTTCTTAGGGAATATGTTGGGAGATACAGACCTATGGAGCTGCTATCACCACGCTTACCCAGGAATATCAAGATGTAAGTTGATAACAAAAACTGAATTTCCAGCATTATTTTTTCCATTTCAGTTTAGATAATGTAATAGATCAGAAGGTTATAAGAACACTGAAATAGATGTATCTTCCTAGTGTTGAGCAGTACTTTCAGAAGAATGCAACTCCATGAGATCCAGCAGGCAGAGGTTATGTTATAGAGCCAAGGTCCTCCCAAAAAGAGCCCCCTGAAGGGCCACGGAAGCTGGGTGGCTCTTGGTAACCAGTTCTTGAGATCACACTGGAACAATTTCAAACATGTCACTCAGAGAAGGGAAAAGGTGACACGTGGAAGCGACAGTGGGTTCTTTCAGAAAAAAGAGGGATGGCACACCCCGCCTGTATTCCAATTCTATGGGGGTCCCAAGGCAGTTTCCAGAGAGTCCTACCAGGTCCACCTCTGGACTTTTGCCATCAGGATGGCCTCAGACTTCAGGTCCCCACTGCACATGGTCTTGCCCCATGGAGGGGTGACATGTTAAACATCCAAGGCACCTCGGCACTTTGACCCATGCTGACTGGTTCTAATTGGATTTTGTTTCTTACAGATTTTAGTGGTCATGAAGGCTTTGTTTCTCATTATAGTATCTTTCAGAGTTCTGGAAGATCTTGTCTGTGCAGAGGTCATAAATTCGCTCAGGATAACTTGTCTTCTTATAGAGTTTTAGGGATGTGGCTGCCACACCTGCATTTCTCCAGCACACAACAGGTTGTTTCCTGAGGAATGTGCCATATCCTATTGACTTAAGCCAGGCAGGGCTGCAGGTAAATTACTTTTGAAAATTAAAACATGTGGGAGTCAGCACAGTGTGCCCAGTTCATAGAATTATCCCTTTACCCTCATGTTCCCACTGCTCATTATCTCTTTGTTATCTATCAATCACACCAATTTTTTTTTATTTTTATGAAACAATAAACTTATTAGTAAGTCAACCCAAAATATAGTAACTTCTCTATTTCAGCCAGAAAGGTTACAAGATGTAATCAAAATCAAGAGCCTTGATCTCAAGGGGAGCTACTATAAAAGAGAAGGTAGGTAAACAATTGATTAGTATTCTAAAATCTGGTGCAATAAAAGGATAGAATGATGTCCCGGATTTCCAACAGCACTCTGAAAGCTTTTCTAAATCAGGCTGAGGTAGATATAGCTGGAGATATGCTTGAAATATTCTTGAAGTAGGTGGCACTTGACCTATGTTTGGGAGGATGGGTTGGAATAAGGTGGGTAAAGAAGTATAAAAAATGATTCTGGGATAAAGGAATAGTTCCTGTTAATTCTCAAAAACATACAGTAGGTTGATGCCGTATCATGTTGAACTGTAATGCATACAATCACTTATGTTTGGGATAAAAGCAGCTATGTGATAGATTGTAAGTGATCAGAATAGAGAAATATGTTTGGCAATGAAAAGCACTTGCTTGTGAATTTAAGGGGTTTAATGATTTTTCTACTGACTAAGAGATATAAAGTTTGTAAAATGATCAGACTTGCTTTCACAATATTAATTTTGGCTGATTATAAAGAACAAGACAGAAGAATGAGGACCCCCACTCAGTTCAGTACAACGAGTGAAAACGCTTACATTGATTTAAAATGAAGTGGCAAAAAATTGAATGAAGTGATAACAATGAACCTATTTGAGAGTGCAGCTGAATGTCATTTGTGTGATTCACCTGATGACCAGCTCAGTGAATAGCAGTGGGCGAGGTGAGAGAAATGCTGATCAAATAAGAGGGAAGATTTCAATATCACAACTAAACATGTGGCTGGAGTGACTGACATACAGACAAGAGGCTGTTTTGGGAGAAAGAAAGAGTTTGCTACTACCTGGCGTGGAATTTGAATGCAGTTCTAATGAGAGAAAGCTAATAAACACCCAGAATAGTGGAGCTGATGTTTAGAGTGAAGCTGATGTTTAGAGAGGACTTTTAAATATTTTAAATATTGAAAATAATACTTAATTAAATTTCTGAATTTGATTGAGAAAGAAAAGATATGCTTTTTTTTTTTGAGGGGTGTTAACAGGGATTGAACTCAGGTGCACTGAGCCACATCCCCAGCCCTATTTTGTATTTTATTTAGAGACAGGGTCTCAACTGAGTTGCTTAGTGCCTCATTATTGCTGAGGCTAGCTTTGAACACGTGATCCTCCTGCCTTAGCCTCCTGAGCCACTGGGATTATAGGGTTGTGCCATCATGCCCCACAAAAAAATAATACACTTTTCACATTAATGGATGAATAGGAACTGGGAAGGCTAGTGAGGGAATGATAGAGGAAGCTAATCAAATATTTGCCATAGAATTTAAAAGAAGAAAGTCCCACAGAAAATTGAATGGAGGAGGAGGGCAGTTGTGTCAAATGCCAAGTTCAAATGAGTCAAAATACAAGGTTTCCTCTAAATTTGACTCTCTGGAAATCCCTAGTGACTTTATGGGTAAGTAGTCCCTGACTATCATGGACAGGAGACCTTGGGTCCTGGGAAGATCGATAGCTAAAACAATCCGATGCAAATGAAAAAGAAAGTATTTTGAGGTTACACAATTACAGACCACTGGATGCCATCACCCAGATTAGACCATTTTAATGAGAACGGCAGCCGGGCCTCTGAAGATTCTGGAATCCTTGTTCATGCAAGAAACATTTTGTTTTTAGGAATGTAAACTCATTAAAATATAATAATTACCACTAACAGTTCTTTAACAAGAGTTTGGATACTTTGTTTAGTAAGAAAAGAGCAATCTGAAGGAATTCATAAACTAAATTGTTCTTTTATATGGAAATGAGGTCACCTGTTTTTGTTGACCACACCCACTACTGAGGGTATAAAAACTTTCTGGGACACTAGAGGACACACACGCAGATACATCTCCTTCATTGTCAAACCAACTCACCACTCCTGACACCATGAGCTACTACAGCAGCTACTACGGAGGCCTGGGCTACGGCTGTGGCTGTGGCAGCTTCCGCAGACTGGGCTATGGCTGTGGCTATGGAGGCTACGGATATGGCTCTGGCTTTGGAGGTTATGGATGTAGCTCTGGATTTGGAGGCTATGGATATGGCTCTGGCTATGGAGGCTATGGATATGGATGCTACCGCCCATCATGCTGTGGAGGATACGGAATCTCTGGATTCTACTAAAAAGCTAGCTGATTCTCAGACTCTACCGCCGCACTCCTGCCTATATGCTTCAGTGAGGAAATGCTTTTCTGGATGTAGCAGAAACAACTAATATTTGTTGACTTCAAGCTCCAGAAGGCCCCGTCACCAATTCTAGTAGAAACTGGAATCTTCCCATTAAAACGAACTGTTCCCCACTAGCATTTCTTGTGACCATGTCTGACCTATGTTTAAAAATGATTTTTAATAAATATGTTTCATTGACCTAGCAAACATGGCTTCATCCATTCATTTCAAATTGGAATTTGGTATTTACATCAGGATGTTAGATTTTTTTTTTCTCCTGAACCGATGTTTTGTTTCAACAATAAATTTAATTCAGTATGTATTCTCTACATGTCTCCATGTGCTAAGTAACATTCTAAGGGCTAAAGATATGGAAGAACAAGATAGAAAGAATGTTGATTTCTTATGTTATTTCTCATTTGTTTTCAGTGATTTTTGTGCTTTTTATAATAGAATTCTAAGCACTATCACTTTTATGATTTGGTACTAAATAATTACAAATTTTATTTTAATAAATAGGTTTGTGTTCTGAGGATTGTTATGAAAGGACAGTGAATCTATGGTGACCTCAGAAAATAAATTATAAATAAATATGAATTTGATGCAAAATATTATTTGTAATAATGTATAAGGTGCCAATACTCATATAAAAAGTTCCATGTACACAATGTGGCATTTTCAAATTCATGATGTTCTTTATGTATATCCAGGTCAATTTTCATTTTTATTTTTTATTTTTTGGCATCCAGAGTGCTCAACCACTGAGTCACATAACCCAACCCTCTTTTGTATTTGTTTTAGAGACAAGGTCTCATTGAGTTGCTTAGGGCCTTGATAAGTTGCCAAGGCTGGCTTTGAACTCATAATCCTCCTGCCTCAGTCTCCTAAACTGCTGGAATTATAGGCATGTACCTCAGCTCCTTGCTAATTTTTAAATACTGACCATTTATAAATCTACTTTACTTCCTTGACAAGTTAGTGACTTTGTTTAATTGAATTTCTTTTTTCCCACATATAGATTCAGGGTCTTACTTTCAGAAAGATATTTCTCAAACATCAGCCTGGACACTGTCAGAGTTAAAAAGTACTGGGAGTGCATTTACAATTTAGTTTCCTGCAGTATGCCGTTCCATAATTTGTTTCCAGTAGGTTTACTGTAGGTCCCTAAACTTTATATCACTTGAAACCTCCTGGTAAAGTTCCGTTTCTATGTGCAACCTCTCCCAGTGTGCAATATTTTTATGCTACCATTCAGGAGCGTTCAACTCTCCAGAGAACATTACCTAAGAGTTGGTGCAAGGACTTTGTATACTTGGAAGATTTGGAGCAGATTCAGCATGAGAATTATATCAAAAGACAAAATAATAAAACTGAAAGAGCATTCTGTTCCTGTGGAAAGCTCATGCTCTGTTTATTTTAAATAAGTTCTTAATAATGATGTGAACAGAACCATTCAGTTCATATGTTGCAATGCTTGCGTGTTTAATAGTTTTTGCCTATAGGCATGGTCATTTGATGATTTTTTGGGGGAATATCTATCTGGTACTTAGATTCTCTTCTTTCTAATATTGTTATTTTTAAATTAAAAAAATATAACAAGTCCATCATTTCACATACATATTTTTTTGTGATGAAAACATTTGAATCTACTCTTTGATCTTTTTGATAAATAATTTTGTGTTATTTGTTCTTCTTAGGTATACATAACAGTAGAGTATATTTTGACATATTATAAATACATGGAGTATAACTTATTCTAACTAGGGTTCCATTATTGTGCTTATACATGATGTGGAGTTTCACTGATTGTGTATTCAGATATGAACACAGGAAAGTTATGTCCAATTCATTCTACTGTCTTTCCTTTTCCCATCCATTTTCCCTTCCCTTCATTCCCCTTTTTGTGATCCAGTGAACTTCTATTCTTCCCTTTCCCTTCACTTCTTATTGTGTATTAGTGTTCACATGTCAAACAGAACATTTGGCCTTTCGGTTTTTTTTGATTGGTTTATTTAACTTTGCATGATAATCTCCAGATATATTCATTTATATGCAAAAGTCATCAAGTCATTCTTATTTAAGACTGAGTAATATTCCATTATATATACCACATTTTCTTTATCCATTCATGTGTTGAAGGCCACCTAGCTTGGTTCCATAGCTTAGCTATTGTAAATTGAGCTGCTATAAACATTGATGTGGCTGTGTTACTATAATGTGCTAATTTTAACTGCTTTTGATGTATAACAAGGAATGGTATAACTGTAAATCGTGGTTCCATTCCAAGCTTTTTGAGAAATCTCCATACTGCTTTCCATAGTGGTTGTACTTATTTGCAGTGACACCAACAATGTATGAGTATATCCTTTTCCCAACATCCTTGCCAACATTTATTGTTGCTTGATTTCTTGATTGTTGCCATTCTGACAGGAGTGAAATGAAATCTCAGTGTATTTTTAATTAGAATTTCTCTAATTGTTAGAGATGTTGACCATTTTTTTTCATATATTTGTTGACCAGTTGCATTTATTATGTGAAGTGCCTGTTCAGTTCCTTTGCCCATTTATTGACTGGGTTATTTGTTTTTTTAGTGTTAAGTGTTTTTGAGTTCTTTATATATCCTGGAGATCAGTCCTCTATCTGAGGTGCAAGTGGCAAATATTTTTTCCTATTCTGTAGGCTCTCTATTCATGTTTTTGATTATTTCCTTGCTGTGGAGAAGATTTTAGTTTGATACCATCCCATTTATTGATTCTTGATTTTACTTCTTGCACTGTAAGAGTCTTGTTGAGGGGGTCAGTTTCTAAGCTGACATGATGGAAATTTGGGCTTGCATATTTTTTTCTAGTAGGTGCAGGGTTTAGATCCAATGCTTATGTCTTTTATCCACTTTGAGCTGAGTTTTGTGCAGGGTGAGAGATAGGGGTTAAATTTTATTCTGCTGGCTATAGATTTCTAGTTTTCTCAGCACCAGTTGTTGAAGAGGCTATCTTTTCTCCAATATATGTTTATGGTGCATTTGTGTCTTATGAGATAATTGTATGCTATTAAAAAAACAATAGTTAAGCATGTCAAATTATTATGAAATAAAATTAAAAATCTTATTGTGAAAATTAATTTAGATCTAAAATTAGTCTTCCCAAGTTTCTTTGTCAGATCACAGAAATATAGAACTGGCATATTTGTGCCTATGATGGTCAGTGACTGTATTACAGATCAGTGATGGAGATCACTCATTTCTCTCTCAGAATACATGGGTTTTGAAGCAGGGTCTTTACATAACCTTTACCTTCATGCAGTGCCTCAATGAACATTTGTTAAGGAAAAAAAATGATTAACATAACAATAAAATTCTGTGATCCAAAAAGTTATTGATTAAGTCTTACTGTTCCTCCAATGACAGAATTAAAATACTAAAAAGTTAGAAAAATAATGACAAATTTATTTCCAAATCCTCTTAAGAGACAGAATTATAAGTTTAATTATTTTATTTCTGATTTTTCAAAACTGATTTTTCATAATTTCCTCCAGACAATTCGACTTAGACATGAAACTATATGAATCACACCAAAGCCTCATTTATTTCCTTTTATAACCTGAAGGTAATCTCTTAGCCTTTTATAATTGATTATGAACTCTCATAAGTCTACTTTCAAATTCTACGTTCAATCCTACAAATGAAAATGTGTTTCTAAAATGGAGAAGATAATATGTTCCATGAAAATGCACAGATGGTGTTTGATAGCACCAGAAGAAAAAAATGTATGTGAAAGTGTTTTCAAGTTATCAATTTGATTGTAAAGAAATTATTTTACAAAAGCATAGTTTGTGTTTATTTACTTAGAAAAATGCATCGAATTTTAAGAAAACTGTAGGCTGAGGATGTAGTTCAGTGGTAGAACATTCTCCTAGCATGAGTGAAAGCCTGGGATAGAGTCCCAGCAGCGCGCGCGCGCGCGCACACACACACACACACACACACACACTAGCACGTAATGATACTGAATGTATCTTTCAGATAATATTATTAGTTGTCATAATGAATATTCTGACCTCTCTTTCTTGATTCTCTTGTAGGTCAAAGAGATTTGCTTTTAATCAGACGTGTGTTTTACCTGAGGGTAGGTTTGAGTCTGAAAGTCCTTGAAGGAGATAATATAATTTTGCGTCTTTTTAGGGCACTCCACTTAAGCTTGAGCCTTTACCGCACATGGTAAGGAATGCTGAGGCCCTCACAGACGACTTACATGAAATTTTTTAAGATTGCCATTTATACCATTTAAGGAGCAATGAGCATTCATTGCATTTATAAAATGATGCATAATTTCGATTCATATTTTGTGGTTTGAATGTAAAAATGAATTCTGTTGACTCATGAGCAATAAAATGGTGGTTTGTGTTATCTTTCCGGTAAGGATGATTCATATCCACTAGATAATTTAGGTTCTTGTCTTGTTGATGCTTTCATAAAATGAATCTTGGAGCTGGAGTCCCATCTGTAGATAACTATCAGAGTAGAACTACCTATGTTTAGTGCCACTGAATCTTTTTTAAATTGATTTACATTTCCTTTGACTCAAATAAACCCAACAGTATTAGACAAATATTACACATGGACAGAAAAAAAATTAAGCATTCTGAAGGAATAAAAACAAGTGTCTTATGTAGGAAAGGATTTTTATCATTTTTTGTTGATGATATTGAAAACTCAGGGTAATGTGTCAAAAAGAGAAATTGTGCTGAATTCTCATATAACCTTAAACATTCCAGTAAATTAGAGATGGTTATATAATGCTAAATTCACTGTCAATTCTTTGAGAACATATTATTAAATTAAGTGTACCAAGAGGAATAAAAACAAATTTCTTAAAAAGAGAGTATAATGATGGTCAATCTTTTAAACAATTAAAATTTCAATTTCAATAAAAAAATTTAAATTTTTCAAAATTCTAACA